GTCCGGGTGCCTGACCAGGCTTGATCGTGGACACAGCTTTAATGAGCTCTGCCCGGATAAACTCTGGCACTGTCGTCTCTTGTTCGTCCGTCATTTCCTCCGTCTCTGGTTGGTTTGGGAAAAATCCATCTCTTATTGTTTTCATGGTGTCTCTGTCTTTTGGTTCCGAAGAGCCTAAGGCCCCCGATTTCTTGGTCACCATCTTGTAGCCAATTCCCCAAGGGTCCCGTTCCACTTCCTCGCATAGTTCTCTCGCGCATCGATTTTTACTGTCCTTTATTTTCACAGTTAGTCTCTTTCGTGCCGTCTTGTACTCGGTCGCTAACCTATCCGCGTCTGCGCTCTTCTTTTTCCTCGCGCGAATTAACTTCCTGCGACAGGCAATGCATTCCCCACGGAGGAGACCGATCTCGTCCGTCCACTAGTGCATTGCTCGTTTGTCGGCCCTGCCCTGGTTTTTGGTCATCGTGGCGTCACACAGTCGCTTCATCAGTTCCGTTGTCTTGTCCGTTATCCATTCTGCTCGTTCCCGCGGCCCGAGCTCAGCTATCGTGTAGTTTCGGGTCAGGTATATGCTGACGTAGGTGACAGTGTCTACCCTCACCCATGCGTTATATTCCCCCTTGCCGGACGCCCGTATTCTACTTACCGGTCTCCCTTTAACCCATACGGCCGAGGTGCCGAGGGTATTCAAAAACCAGCCGTCTTGTGTTCGTAAATTCCACGGTTGCTCGCTCAGTATCAATTTTTGTTCGTGCTTCCATCTTTTCGAGCGCTGCGTCAATGCGTCTGAGCTGCGCGCGAAGAATCTGGAGGTCTTCTGTAGTCTGTGCGTTATCATTGTCTTTCCGTACGTTCTTCGTCTCAACGTCCGTGTTGGTAATCGACGTTGCCTTCCACATGCACAAGGTGCGGCCCTCAAAATCCTTGCCGCTGCCCGTGGCCACCGGGACTTTCACCCGATCGGAACCCAGGGTAGATTCTCCGTCAGAAGGGGTTACCACTTGAGGTACATCAGTGTTTTCATTGTGCATTTTTCATAGTTTTGTGTCCCGTTATGCTAAAGGTCCCTCGTGGTCGCAACTCCACGAACCGCGCTGGAACGACGCGCGGTCCCTCAGGCCCCCTGTCCTGTGTGTGTACCCCGTGTGTTCAGTGTTCCTCCCTGTGGTGTGTGCGTGTATGTAAGTGCCCAAGGCGAAACCGGGCTTCGTTCACGGGGAAAGCCCGTGTAGAGAGATCCCCTTCACTCGCTTTCGGGCGGTTCCGTTTATAGGAGTCCCAGACCACTTTTCGGTAAGATCCGTTTATAGGGTCGCCGAGCATTCACTTCCCTGGTTTACCAGAAGGCGTGTGTGTGTGAGTGTTTTCGTAGTGTGTGTGTGTGTGTATGTGTATAAGTGATTAATAGTTGGACACATCGGCAGAATACCATCTTTTGCGTCATTTGTGTGCCATATCTTCCTCTTGGCCGTGTCCGTTATAGCGTTGCTGCTCAGAGCATTGACGCGACGAACAACGTTTCCACCGGGCACGGTCGTGGACGTTGGAAGCTAGCATTTGCCCAGTGAGGTGTAACCACTCACTGGACCAGCCCGGCGTAGTCCAGCCAGGATTAGTATTGTTAGAATTACTCTCATTGTCATACTTCTGTCCTTCCTGTCCTTTTTCTCTTTCTGGTTTTCACTTGAAATCATCGCGCGAAAATGCCGATGAATGCACACTTACCTTGTACTGAACAGATTGAAAGAAAAAATATTCTCTTCTTTCCTTCACACCAATACCCCACACCTAGCACCAAATGGATGTCATTGGTGGTCAGTTTGTTATGTTGTTGCCCGGCCCTTCAAACGGATTTAGATGTGTGAATAAACGAGAGTCGTATTTAGTCGGTAGTTACACTTTATTCAAGCTTAAGTATCAAGAGAGATCGCATGTGTGCTTGCGCTCACGGTTCCTGCGTACTTGCCCGTGTCCATTGCCTGAACGCCCCCCACACGGTAATACGCGTTTGTTTTAATACCTAATCGTTCAGTAGATAAGCAATGTATTTTTCAGGACAGGTTATTCCCTAGGCACTAGAGACCCTAGTTTTTTAATCAATAGAATTTATAGACAGATTAATTTTTTTTTTATCGAAACCAAGGACCCTATTGTATAGCGGGGGTCACTCGCCTATGCTTATCGCTAGGAACTAGAGCTGTATCCTGGTAGATTTTGATCAGTAAAATTAATTAATTTATAGACAGATTGATTTGATTTTAATTATTATTTTTATTGTTGAATTAAATAATAACTATAGAGAGAACGCTTCATCACGTGTTCGACTCAGCTACAATTAAAAAAAAATGAATGGACGCGTCGAGGAATCGTACCCACGTTTTTTGGGTCCACAGGCCGGCACTCTACCATTGAAGCCACTGCGAGGTATATCTTGTACAGTTCTCAGTCTGTATACTAGCTATATATTTGGCATATGATCCGAGCGCGTGGTGGTGCGAACGCTCTCTATAGGAAATGCATAAAGGCGGGGAGCGCGTGCTCTCTCTCGTTCTGATTCAACAGGTTGGTAGCACACGGTTGTGTGAAGCGCGTGCTAGTTCTCTCTCTCTCTCTCTCTCTCTCTCTCTCTCTCTCTGTTTCTCTCTCTATCTCTCTATCTCTCTCTCGGTTTGATTAAGCGTGACTATGTTTATGTTTAATCATTGTGACGGAGAATTTCGGCTCGCCGACTTCTCCTTCGTCTCTCTCTCGTCCGTTCACTACACCCGGGCTGAGAGTGTGTTGGTATACACTCTCATGCCTGGTTTTTCTTTGTTTGAGGTGCGGCGAACGGGCATTGGCGGAGCTGAGGGCGGCCGACGGGATGGCGATCCGTTGCCAGGATCGTCATGCGGGAGAGCGAGCGGGATGGGGAGAGCGCGAGCTGCGCACGGATCCGATGCGTGCGCAGCCGGGGGGGAAAATCGGCAGTTTCGTTTGGGCTGGCCGATCGCGTGCGCGCGTTTGTTTTCGTTCGTTGCCGATTTGGGTTTTCCGTTGGTTTTTCTTTGGAAGCGGTGCGGTGCTTCGCCACGTCGTTTGTTTTGTGGATGCGCACCCGGTGGTTCTATTTTGGTTTGAGTGAGAGTGAGTGGCTGGGTCGCGCCCAGCCAAGCCTTGCCGCCCAGCACCGGTGTGCGCGGGTGAAAGCGAAGCCCGTACCGCTGGCGCGCGCGTGTTCGGCGAGCGAATCCGGCGAGCGGCTGAGCAGTAGCACCAGCAGCAACAGCTGAACAGCCGCAACAGCGACAACAGCAACAGCTGCAGCAGCAACAGCAACAGCAACAACATCAGTAGCAGCAGCAAGCCGCAGCCGTTGACCGGGAGCGGCCATCTTCACCTGAGGTCGCCGTTGGGAAGGTCGGTGCCGGTTTTCTCTCTCTCTCTCTCTTTCTCTCGCTCTCTTGCATGTCCGGGGTGTTCGCGGGTGCAACGGTGCAGGTCGGGCAGTGATGCCGGCCCCCGTTACCGGGTTTTGAGTTCGCGGGCGCTTAGGCTTAAGCGGATTATCGGGCAGTGATTGCCGATAATCCGATTAAGCGGATTAGTGATTTTTGTAATAGGCCGATTTGCGAGATGGAGTGTGCGTGCTCCGTCTAATTATTAATTTGTGTGTCTTTCTTTTATTTTTCATTTCTTGTGTTTGTAATAATAAATTGTTAATATATATATTTGTGTCATAAATCACTGCGTCAACCCGTTCGTTTTCCCGATTTTCCTTCAATTCGTGCGCGATTGGCACACACGCTTGGTGTGCCATTCAGTCGTGGGAGCATTCGTGCCTCCCGAGCCCTCCTTTGATAAATATTGTGCGGACGGCCGCGAGCAAGTATTCTTCAACGAATAGTCGGCTTAAATAATTCCGTTACATCATATATATGTTCCAGGGCAGATTATTCTCTACGCTCTATAGACCCTAGTTTTTTGATCAATAGAATTTATAGACAGACTAATTTGCAGATAAGAGAGGGACGCTATACTCTCTGTCTCTCACTCTCTCTCTCTCGTTCTAATTCAGCTTGGCTTAGTGGAATGGAAAGTATCTTTTCCTGTACATTTTTTTGGCCGATCGTCCTTACTATTCACGCTTTTTTTTCGATATTCCGTTTGAAAAATTTATTCTTAACTTTTGTTTCTTTGAATAATAGGAAATCTTATGGATTTTTTTTAACGAGGTTGCATCAGTGACCGCTGCGCTGGTGCCTACTAATTGATTTACACTACAACAAGATAGGCTTATTACACCTGATGCGATGGACAGTATCCTATCTTGTAAATTTTTTGGCGGGTCGTCTGAGCCGTTCACCTATTTTTCGATATTCCGTTTGAAAGATTTATTCTTAACTTTTATTTCTTCAAAATATAAGAAATGTTTTGAAAAGAGATGTAATTTACAAAGAGTATCCTTATTTGTCGAGAGAAGGGTTTTCATTGTTGAGAGAAGGGTTTTCGTTGTCGAAAAGGTAAGGAGTTTACCTATATAAAGTTTTCTGTCGAAACTGATTAATCAGTAGTTCAAAAACTCGGTATCTTTGTATTTTTGTAATGCGTTGTGCTCGTAGCTATAAAGCTAAAATATATTTAAGAAATGGCGTTTATTAGACAGTTTTTGATTTTTCTGTAAAGCGTGTGTATGTATATTTATGCAAATATATAACATAATAATTTAAAAAAGAAGTAAATATTTAGTCTGCAGCACGGATGATTCCGTTGGAGATATTCTACAAGATGCTCATCAGCTTTTCGTGGTGGTAATTACTTTTCTTTATCTTTTTTTCATATATTTTATTCCTCGTAATCAATTCCAATTTTTTTTCAGATGCTTCAACTGATGAAACTACAAGGGGATCATATTTTAATTATGATAGGGATAGTTCAACAGTTACAGTAGTTTTATATTATTTTTATAAATAGATATATAAAACAATTTTTAATAATAATTTTTGTGTTTGTTACAGTGGCAGCAGGATCTAATAAACCACAGAAGGCAAACCCAATAAATAGCTGAGAATATTTAGCAACAAATATTCAGAAAAAAAGTTTTTTGAGTAATGAAAGATGAATGCGATGAAAACATTGTGAGAAAATTTATTGATCTTCAAAGTATAAAGTATACAAATAGAAAATCATCAAACTATAAAAAAACAAGAGGAGTGAGAATGTATACTGTTAAAAACTATATCTCATGAAGATTATCGAAAATGTTTAATGTAATCAGAAATTATAAGGCGTGAACAATGATGTATAAGTAGTATATTGCACCAACTAAAGAGTGAGAGAGCAAAAGATAGCTTCAGCCCTTATGACTATAAATTTTGTATGCTTGAAAACAATCCAGAATGAAACTTCCATGGAATCATTATCAAACTATTGAAGCAATAAAACTCAAAGTGAACGCTACAGCAGAGCGAAAGGAAAAGGAAGCTCAGGATATTTCTGGAGAAAATATATTTCACTGTAGTAATCAGATTCCTCTAACCGCTGTTAGATGTCGCTCAAAACAAGCTATTTACGGTGGGTAGGAAAAAGAGAAAAAAATTTAGTAAAAATGTTAAGAAGCGACTAACAAATAACCCTACCCAACTGTCACTTACGGATTTCAATGAAACTTGGTAGACTGGTAGAACATTGGAAAATAGTATACAGGTATATTTAACGTAATATTCCTTATTTACTGTTCTACCCTGTGGCAAGAACTCATGATGCACCACGCCCCTGCAGTCAAAGAAAACTGTAAGCAAAACCTTTACATTTAATCGAACTTGGCGTGCTTTTTTTGGTCTTGGTGATCCAGAATGCCTCCACTGGGACGATTGAGTCTTAGTCTCGACGTCATAACCGTATACCCATGTTTCGTCACCTGTTATAACCCTGTTGAGTAAATCTGGATCATCGTTGACGTCATTCAGTAGCTCTTCGGCGATGCTCATGCGACGTTTCTTTTGGTCGAAATTGAGCAATTTCGGAACAAACTTCGCTGACACACGTCTCATGTCTAAAACACTCGTCTAAATTGATTGGCACGAACCAAATGAGATGCCAATATCATCAGCAATTTCTCTAATGGTAATTCGACGATTTCCCAACACTATTTTCTTCACTTCTTCAACATTCTCATCAGTTGTTGATGTGCTGGGGCGTCCAGAACGAGGTTCGTCGTCGGTGTCTTCTCGGCCTTCTTGAAAGAGTTTATACCACTTGTAAACATTTTTTTGGCTTAAAGTATACTCACCGTATGCCACTTTCAGCATTTCAAGTGTTTTGGAACATTTGATTCCATTTTTCACACAAAATTTAATGCAAACTCTTTGATCCATGTTTTTAGACAGCAGCAAATCGTGGAGCACGCAAAACACTTCTAACCTTGATGCCTCTCACAAACAAACCAAACATACTACAAAGCTGAAATTTGGAACGTATGTTCTAGACGAGTGTACCGACATAACCAAATAAAAAAGTCGAAGATCGAAAGGACGTAGCCCGCTAAATTTCAAAATTCACCTTACTTTTTGATCACACCTCGTACATAATGTTAATTAGGTGAACCACGTAATCAAATGAAAGGTGAAGATATTTTTTTTTTGGTCTCAATTGGCGCCATGTTTCGTTGTTGCTGTGTCATTCTGAAACATAAGAAACAAAGTTTTTTGACATTATTATACCAATTCCTCGGCCACTTACCTAATTTTGAAATGTTAAAAAAATTTTTGAAAAAATGGCGAACTTTTGAAAAAAAATTCATAAAAGTTTTTTTTTTATTAATGCAAAAGAGTTATTAAATAATTTGTTAAAATAAAATCCTTTAGGTTTATCGACTAGCTAATTAAATTTCCTTTAAAATGGTATTTTTTTTTTCAATAGCTTTAAAACTCGCTGAGTAATCAGTGGCGCCAATTGGGAAAATCGAAAAATTGAGTTTTCGAGAAAAACGCGTTTAAAATTTGCGGTATACAATATATTATTTTTTAATAGAATTTTTTTATACTTACAGCTACTAATCGACTTTTGCACTATTCAGCAATGCCTGCTCCATAAAGAAGCCCTTCTTCTTCTTCGAAATGTTGATTTTCAGATGCAGTTTTCCTTTTTTTGACCATTCGAGCTTCCTTTTGAACTCCAGGCACTTCATCATCTTCAAAACTGCATTGAATCCGTCATTAAAAACTACGGCAGCTATATAAGCAGCAATTTCCACGGTCTTTGCGCCACAATGCAAGTGTTTTGGTGCTAAACGCCACACGAGCGCATTGAAACTCTCGTTAGCGTTTTGAGTGTAGCCACCTAAATATCTTTCCAATAAATTATCTTTGGAAAGATCTTGGTAGATTGGAAGAATGTGTTTTTGAACGTCCGGATGCAGTGGCGGAGAATGTTCATAGACGTTTGCTCCAATACATTGTGAGGCTTGCCATTCGCACCAACTGTCTACTCCAGCAGGGCAGTTTTCGTGCTGCGCGTTCTCGTCAGTTGAACACATGTGGTAGTATGTTGCTATTATAGCTTTTTTCATGTCTTCAACGGAGTTATCATTTCTTCCTGATCGCAAGTCCATAATAATTGGTTAACTTTTTGATGAGCGCATCGGTGAGCTTTCCTTTTCCGCCAAGTTTTTCACTTTTTTTCAAATTTCGCAAACGCGTACCCATTCGTTTCTGAACGTGTCCAATGCACTCACATTTTTTGACAATGCAGTCTTCTCCATAAGGATTTATTTTAAGTATAGCCAAAAAAGTCTTGGAGTCACCATCGCCGATGTAAGTAGTGTACATGACGCCGTAATACTCTTGCGATCTCAAAAACACTTCGACGACTGCATCGACCTCCATTTTGCCAGCGGATCCGGTGTGGTTTGCGCTGCATTCGTCTGCGTGCTCTTCATACCAGTCCAGATATTCTTGTGTGTCTTTTTTGTATTTACATGTTGTGCACGCTTGACATAACGAGCTTTTCACGACTAAATCAATGATTTTCCCGCTCTCGTATGCAATCAAACTGGTGACACCAAGTTTTGATGAGAAACCACGCTTTTTCCACGATCCATCGCCTGAAACTTTTAACTGTAGAAGTGGCCTGTCATTTTGTTCGTTGAGCTTCTTCTCCTCTTCAATATCACTTTGGCAACTACTCATAAAACAGATCTTCGACGCTTGATGTATATGCTCCAATATGCCATCATATGCCTTTTTACTTAATCCTTCACCAAAGTCCATCAAACTTGAGAATAAATTGAGGCCTTTCAAGCCTACACCTATAAGTCTCATCACAAACACTATTCTACGATTGACTTCGAAGCCGTTATTGATGAAAGGGCCAGAGTTCACTTGAGTGTCACTACATCTACACGAAATCACTAGTTTCCAACCGAGACCACGATGCCCAGCCTCCTTGAAATTCACCCCTCCTTTGCATTTTTTGCAGCACAGTAGTTCACTCAACAGGGTAAAAACTGTCACAAACTCGATTATGCGGTACCGATGATCATAGTCAATCGAAACATCATCAGTAGATGCTGCTGACAATTTTCGGGCAATTGCACTAGCACTTTTTGGCTCGCCCGTTTCCGTTGTATTCTGGTTTCCTTGAAAAGAACGCTTGCGTTCTGATGCTCGATACCTCCCGGCCTTTTCACCTTTAGGGTAAGACGACATTTTGCACGCAAAACAGCAGTGAACTAGTCGATAGCTACGAAAATACTGAGCCAACTGTTGTAAAACTCTTCGAAATAAACCTTGCTACCTATACTTTCAGTCGGCTTAGACTGTAGTAATCCTCTTATTTATACAAGTATACGCACTAATACAACCAAAATTGGAATAGCATCTGCCATAGTACAATTGCGAAGCATCTCGAAGACCCAAACTCAGCGGGGCACCTATTGTATTCGAGCGCGTACCTGCCTACCTGCGCCGCACTCCGGCAGCGCGTCGCACAACGTTAAAGAAAATAGCCATAGCATCGAAACCGCTGCGAATTTCACTTTAAAATTTTAACAGCATACTATTGACATGTTATACTATCGACTTATGTAATAAGAAAAAAATCGATTTTTCGATCGATCTATACGAGAATACCCCCTTAAAACTAAAACCAGAGTCAGTCTATAACAATTCTAGAAGAATTGGTAACAAACAGTAGTAGTATTAGTAGTAGTGGTAGCAGCAGCATGTTAGTATCCTTGTCTCCATCCTTAATTCTGGGGCGTATAAAAGACAAGAGATTTTACTTCTTTTCTAAGCATGTACGGTTCGCAAAGAAAGTTTGAATCGTCGTCCTTATGAAGTTCCGGATTCAAGAAAAGGAATTTGAGAACAGGTAGCACGTGATCGTGATTGCTTTCGAAAACATATTACCGAGCTGGATCGAGTTATATCACTCGTATTGTTTAAAAATTGAATACTAATGATGAACCTCATACTTGATCCGATTTTAAATAACCATTATATTAATAATTATATGTTCGATAAAATGAAAATCTGGTTTTGAGTAGAGGGACAGAGAAAGAGGGAAGTGGTTTCGGCGCCTCGAGAAAGCTGAGTAGTGGGGTTGCTACGTATTAAAAGAAGACTAACAAGGAAACCCCCCCAACCCGACCTCACCGATTTCAATAATCTTTTGATATGTTATAGTTCATCAAAAAATAAGACATACGTATTTTTTTTTATCGGCGGAAAAACACTTTGAGGGGGTGAAAACAACCCTCAAAGTTCACCCCCAAAAATAGATTTTCCAATGTATCTCAGCATCTAATTGATATTTTACGACCAAACAAATTTCATATCACTTCTCATGTGAAAAGCAAACTAGCATATGCAATTCCGACCACAAGGGATGCAACCCTTATTTTTTTTATTTAAAATACTATCTATTTCATGGCTATTTTTATGAAAAAAAATAAAATAACCCGAAAAAATTGGAAAAAATATTACCCTACATAAAATACAAAAATAAAGTTAATCTAGTTAATGTTTTTTTTGAAACTACCCCCTTAAAGTTGAAAAACCACCCCTAAAAAATTGTTTTCAATACATTACAGGTGGTGTTGATAATTTAGTGTAAAATACGTTAAGCATCATTTATACT